GACTGGGTGCCAAAGTATGATCTTTAATGTCAAAACCGTCACCCAAATTTACATTGGATTTCAGTGTTTTTGATATGTTAAATGGATCCTACAAGGTCCCATAACTCATACTGTATAATTATGTAATAAATCACTCATATTAACACTCTGAATTACTAAGATTTGTTTTTGTAATCTAACAGCAGGCATGCATAGAAAGCCTTGAACAAAATAAAATAAAACAATGTGCAAGGTGCACAGTGCTATCCACAGCAGCCTTGTTGATATTTTCTGATCACTAACACAGAAATTTAAGTTTCATCTGTGATTAAAGGGTGAGAAAAGCAAGGTTCTGCATGCAGTCCTAATAAAATCACACCTTTTCAAACACATTCACATCTTTATGGAACAGCAGGACCTCCAATCATTCAGGAGTACGCAGACCTCAGGCATTTACATCAGCTGTTTAATATTTGCTGTTAGCTGCAGATAATTTCTATGCTGTTTTCTGTGGCTATGTATGCAAATAACAGTAATTATTATAAGGAAAACAAAAACCAAAGAAGTATTATGAAAGGAAGAAACTTATCCCTGTCTCCTCCATCCTTGTCTCCTCCATCCTTGGTGTCTTCATCTGTGAAACCTGCAGAGTAGAAACAGGTGTGAGGAGTCTAACCACGAGTATGCTGAAAATATTTCATGTTTCACATTTTCAAACAGTTATTTAGTTGCTGGGAATAATGCAGAACAATCAGAATAATACATATTGATTGTATCTGCTGGTTTTTGGCTATCAACTGTTGTGTAGAGCTGCTGTGGTCATGCTTGACAATTTTACAGCATATTCAGCAGCTAACAGGAGCAAAGAACAGCATGTAGCAGCATAAGACTACACTGGCTTCAGAAAGTCTTCCGTTTTTATTTTCTCTTTCAAACTGCTGCAGCTGCATTTATTATTGACTGACACGACATGATTCAAAACAAAAAGCTACTTCCATCTCACCCAACTTGCTCCAGTTTCCGGCTTCAAACTCTTCGTCCTATCTGACACTCGTTCACCTCCCACATGTGACGGCAGCTAAGGTGAATTTATTTTGTTCTTCTCCTGAGTCTCTTAAACATATTTATTTTAAGGTAATGACTTACGATCATGTCCTTGGATGACCTTTGAACTTCTTTATTAATAATTGTCCCTACTCCATTTCTCTTTCTGACTACACCACAGTAGAAAAGTTTGAATCCACCTCCAGTGCACCTGGCCTTGCTTTCCTTTCACCTGGTCTCACACAGTATATCTACCGTCCTTCTCTCCATCATATCACTTTACTCTCTATCGTTACCTGTCATAGTCCCTACACTCATCTCCACACTCTTGCCTTTCCTTCTCTCTCACTGCCTCCTAACACACCACCCCCCTCATCTCTTCCTTTGTCTTTGGCCAACAGTTGCACAGTTTCACCCTTTTTCACCAGGGGCAGTCATTATTAACCCAGACTGATCCAGTGTGGTGAGCTCATTTGTGATGATTTACATGTTTGATTTGTCAAATATTGTATGTCCTGACCCTCCCCATGTATCTGAGCTTGACACTGGCACTAGAAGTACACTGGACTGTGTCCTCCCCATGTCTACATTCACCATGCAGACTCTAATAAGCAACAAGTTATCAGACAGAGCTGGTGCAATAAATGACCTTGTGGTTCACTGTGCAGTTTCCCACCATCAAGAGGCTAAGCTAGGGAGTAGTTCACTGCTGACACCCTAACAAACAAACACAGAATCACACACAGATCGGACCCTGTGAGTCGAATATATATTTACAAACTCACCTGAGGTTGTGACTGTGAGGTTGACAGAGTGCTTAGTCTCAGTCACGACACCTTCTGTGTTCCTGACTGTAATCTCACACTCGTATGTTCCCGTGTCGCTGGTGCTGACGTTCTTCAGAATCACTGAAACGTCTCCGTCCTTCATGGTTGGATCTCTCAGCTCCACTCGGCCTTTGAAGAACT